ATCAGAAATCAGTGCCACAGGGGAAATTTAATTGAACTGTAACTCTAATGATTATTTGAGGAAAGCCCTGACAGTTAGACTACTACAGAGTTTTGATCTTAGGCATTTCATATTCACTGTTCAGCCCAGTGGGTTCTCAAACCAGTTCATAGAGAATGAGAGAGACACTGAGTCTTCAGAAAGGCAAATTTCTTCAGTGTGGGATGGTGTAGCTAGATGTCCTCTAGACAATCTGTTTTGAGAGCTAAATATGACATAACAACGCTCATCACCCCTTATGTTTCTATCCCAAGAGCTAGGCCTGTTTACATAGCCTGGAGATGTTAGCAATTACTGTCTTCAAGGTTGTCTGGATATAAGATGCAAAAATGCTGCTGCACTGGATTCTTAACATTTAAACATATTTAAATTTCCACCAATCATAAGCATATTCCCTTAAGAATTTGTTTCATTAATGTTCCAACTGTGCATATTATTTTCCCTTTATTATCCCCATATATGCTTGATTCTTTTGTGAAATCTGTGCATCACTTCAATAGCTAAGCCAGGTTTTCTTTTTTAGGAATGTTTAAAATTTGCTGGGCATTGGGGAAAAATATTTCAAACATAAATGTGTTTCAAAATAATAATTTTTGGTATAAACCACAGGATTTCCATACCATATTTACATTCCAAATAAATGTAAGCACTACACACAGAGGGAGGGTTGATATATATTAAGAAAGAGAAGGAGGAGGTCTGGAATTCCAGTTAAATGCCCTTCTTCAAAATACTAATCCAACTACAACAAACAGCATGTATATACTTAATTCACAGGGGGAAGAACTTTGTAATAGCTTACAAAGCTATTGGAAAAAGAAAAATATATTCTATTTATGTATTCTGTTTTCAATATATGTCTCATCAACAAATGTTTTCTTGAAGTAAGTTATTTTTCCAATTCTCCGTTCCAAATAATTATATGGTTCATTTCTGAAGTCTTTTCTCTCTCACATTAAGGCTAAATATAAACAACCTAAAATAAGGAAAAAAAGGATATGTATGCATAGTAGAAGAAATAAGTTAGATCTGCACTGTTAAGTGCCTGTAAAAATAATATGAATATAATTTCATTGCAGAAGGAGCAAGCAATCTTTTTTTCTGCCAAGAGTCACCTACTGAGATAATTTGTCAGGATTCACTTGTCCAGCAAAGAGTGAAACCAAAGTCAGGAAGGATCTCTTCTTCCCTCATCTGATCAGCTGGCTGCCAGCAAACGGCTGTTCTCACTAGCTAGTTGCCTGAACTCATCTCATACAACAGCAAAAAGCAACTTTGTCCCTCTTTGTGTTTTACACTAGTTAGTAAACCATGTTTATTAAGACTGATCAGAAATAAAGTCCCAAACTTCCAGACAGATTCCTGGTGTCCAAAGACATTTGAGTCTGCCAACCAATGCAATAAAAATTGCATAAAAATTCATATTATTCATGTGAAAAGGGATGAAAGTTTAATTTGTAATGTGTACTGTCCAGAATGTGTGGATTGGGGCAATATGTAAGTATTGTAAAATATCACTACAGTTTTGAATAATAAATTTGAACACTAATGAAGGATAGCAAAGCCGCCAAACTAGCAGAGAGCTGCTACTGGCACGGAGATTTTGTATTAAATCAGAGACAACGTGAGAATTCTCAAGTTGCAAACTTGTCCTTTTCAAATTAAGGAATTAACTGAGGGCCCTTCTCAAATATTTCTAGTGTGGCATTATTTGACCCTGCTGCACCCCTTTATTAAAAAAACAAACAAACTTTTTTTGCCTTTCATTTGATTAGACAGTTTTGTTATTTTATCAAGAAAAGCAGAACTGAAAAGTTATTTCTCAGATATTATATTTGCAGTTGCCAGATATTGGCCACTTTTTTTTTGCCAAAGAAAAAAATGTTCCTAAAAATGAAATTACCATTTCAAGTAACTTTTATTAAACTATATCAGGAGCAAGGTATCATCTTAACATCTTCCATCCTACAGAAAAATTACCACACAAATGAATAGTTATGAACTATGTTTCCAAAACCTAGAACAACATATGCAAAATGTATTTCTCTCTCACTATTTTCTCATTTTTTTTATTTTTCCCCAATTCAAATTTAACACAAACTTGTGCATTTCTGAATGCCTGTCAAACCAACAGAAAATTTAGCACCAGATGAAACAAACAAAAGCCTTGAAGTTATAAAATGGCATACAGACAGACATGTCTTTTTTGTAAGATAAAAATATTTCCTAACTCTTAAGGAGAGGAAAAAAAGATCTTTTTGTAGTTGTTAGCAAATGAAAAGGTGAGTTTATACCAAAAATAAGAATCTCCTTAAGAAAAAGAGAAGTATATAAAACTATATAGAAGTTCAAAGCAATTAGTAAAAGTTTTTGGATAAGGCAGATAGATTTATTCAGTTGATTATATTTGAATGCAGTACCTTGGTTTTCCTTGTGAATCTAGCAATCTAGAGTCCAAGATCTACCTCCAATAACCCTTCTCACTAACCATATTCATAAGCAAAAAGAGTATCCAAGAATGGAAGCTTATTTCTCAGCCTGGAAGGGAACAACTGGTAGCTAATTCCTATTATTGCTAAGTATCCTGCCTTAGTTTGTTTCCTTGCCTCTTCCTATTTAAAGCATATAATGTGGAAGAGCAGTCTGGCATGCAGCAGAAAAACCTTTGCATGGTCAAAAATATAACAGATTTATCCAATGGCAGGTTTTAAACTGGAAAGTTTTATTGCAGTTACAGGCAATTGTCAACTATTTCCTGAGCAGAAATTGAAGTTTTCATTTTAACTTTCAAAATCCTACATTGCACCCAAGCTTGGGAACGTACTTGTCAAGAGTTGCATTTGCCCTTCCATTTTCCCCCCTGCTTTCAAACTAAGAGTTCAAACCTAAATTTATATTGTTTTACAATTATTTTAATATTTATTCTTCAACTTTACTACTTCTTAATCGTTCTCTATTATTTTTTTCAGTGCTATTAATTGCCTTGTCCTGATGGATACAAAAATTAGTATAAATTAAATCAAGAAATAAATTATTTTTATGCTACTTTTCCACCAAAACCATTCTAAACATCATAAAAATAAGAGTCTTTTCTGCTAATCTTAATACTAGTCAGTTTAGGGCTATATAAGATACATATGAAGTATAGGGGGGAAACAGATGCCTTAAACATTATTCTAAGTGATCTCCTCCTGACTGTGCTCAGAAATTTGGCTCTGTGAAGTGAGGCTCACTGAAGAGGTGCACAAAATTGACAATTTTTTATAAATCTCATTATTAATCTTACAGGGAGGTGGATTCTTCAATAAGAAGTGGCCACATGGCTTTTACTAATGACTGAGGACTGATATCCAAGCACTGTACATGTAGTCGGAAAGCTGGGCCACTGACATCTGAGAAAGTTAGAACTTGGAGTAACGTCCAAGCTAGTCATAACAGACAGAGTACTGGAACAAATTCTACTGTCCATACATGAAGGATGAGAAGTGATGGTTGCTGTTAATGCAAAAACCTTGTGCCAGATTATTTGGATTTTTAAAAGTAAATATTTTATCTTAGGCTGAACTCCATAGGCTTTTACACAAGAATTGTGCATAGACCCATAAAAGAATAAGAGAAGTTCTACTGGATTAGAATGGTTTTTTTTTTTTTAATAGGAACTTCAGTGGAATAACTGCAATGTTTCATCTTAAAGATCTACAAGCAGGGCATCATGCAGGGCTACAGATTTAATAACTGCTTCTGAACCTGGAATTCTTTAGATCTATCAGAAATAGTCAATGACATGAAAGTAGTAAATTTTATAATGCAGTTATGGCGCATCATGCACTGTATGTTCTCAGAAACAATGGGAGGAAAAACAGGTGACAATTATTTAATGTAGCTTTCCAAATTTGTGCCCTCCAAAAGTTTTGGAACTACAAGTCCAAGAATTTCCAGCCAGGATGGCTCATTCAAGGGATTCTGGGAATTAGATTTCCAACATTTCTGGGTGGCACAGAGCTGCTCTAATATCTACTCCAGCTTAAGCAATGTTATTAAAATAAAAAAAATTAGGAACCTTCTTAACTCTTCTTGAAAAGTCTGTCTACTCTCATAAAGTTGACTAAGATTCAAAATAGTCTTCAGTAACTCTTTCTTAACCAGCAGGGTGCCCATTATTTGAACAGAGGTAGATTTAAATCCTATCTGGCAACCCAGGTGCCACTCAAATGTCAGAACAGACAGGAAATAATTTTACATATTTAGCCTGCTTAGAACCTTCCTCCAGTTTTAAAAATAGCAACCAATAATACAGCAGTTTGATGCAATCTGACAGAAATGCCAACATACCTTTCACATGCTTGCATACTCTTCTCCTTTCTGCTCTTTGCAATTTCTAAAGATCAGTTGCTACAAGAGCTATAAGCACTTCATTTAACTGTATGTCCTTTTCTTATTTTTTCTGGCCTCTACCTTAAGTCATATTTCACACAGAAAAGTTACGGCTTCAGTTTAACTTTAGTACACACAAATCAGCTATGTCAACATAGTATCCCTGGATGCTGGGAACAATGAGGAGATATACTGTGTTGTTGTTATTATACAGTAGTAGCAGGACATATGGGTGATAGGTTGCCATCCCCTAATTGTTTTTTTCAGGCAAGCCTGAAACTGACAAGAATGTCAGCTGCTTAAGCAAAACAGTTGAAGAGGTGAAGAAAAAACTCTGATGCTCTGATTAGCCCAGACATTCTTCAGAGAAAACCCTTCAGCTCAGAGAGCATTTTATTAGATGTATTTATACTTTCCATTCTCCTTAATTGTTCCTCGCAGCAAGTTTACTTAATTAAGAGTAAATTACAACAGCACATTGCTTGCAGCTACCATTTCCTAATTAAAATAAGCAAATGCAAACTCAGGTTGGGAAATAAAAAGACTTTGAATGGCTGTACAAAAGGAAGGAGAATGACACCATTTACCTCATGGATGAGAGCTATAAACATCTGGTGAAAGTTTCGCCCCCTACTGGCTAAAAATCGATTGATGGGTTTGCCATCTTTGCCCACATGGATTGGAAGGTCATAACTCAGCAACATGCCAGCTGAAGAAAAGTATTTATATATACGTTAAAAGGCTGAATAAACATTCCAAAAGCCTATGTTAATATTATTGTAAAAGTACATACAACTGTAATTTAGAAAGCTGAAAACTTGGATTTCAGAGCAGTTTGGTAATTCTTTCTTAAAGGGGAGGGGGGAGATGTAGATTACTAATTTCCTTTTCAGTGTATAAATCACAGAGGCATAAATTGATCATTCATCTTGTTACACTATTAGAAGTCCTGATTCTACCTAATTAGTTCAGTACAGAGAGCAGAAAAAACCTGTAGAGGCCCCAGGATTGACTCAGCTAATTTCCTATAGCAAACTTATTCTATGATACCTCATCCATGTATGGACATGGAGACTTGATCTATACCAAGTCACTTGGGCACAAGAGGGAAGCTTGATCCTCTCCCTGAGACATTTTATTATACAACATTTACCTATTATCTACCTATTCTCATGAACTATGTTCAGTTGTTGTTTTTTTAAACCCTCACTAGATGCCGTTGGAACATTTAATAATTCATGCACATGGATGGTGGGAGGATGAATTTTGTGAAACAAAATGCTTTTCCAGCATGTACCTAACTGGACTTGGACATTAACAACAGAGTTGGCATGCTGTGGTTCCCATCTATTAAACAATGCCATCTTGCAGGACCCTGGAGGCATGACTTCTCTGTCACTGGACCTGCCCTCTGGAATAGCATTCTGCCTGTGATCCATGCAGCCTTCACCCTGCTTGTCAGGTTCAGCCCAAAGAACTCCAAGAGACAATGCAAATAAAGTTCTGTTGAGTTTATTAGCTACAACCTCCAGACAGAAAATCTCT